CAGAAACGGCGAGACAGAGATAGAGACCCAGAGACATAGAAGCAGAGATAGAGACAGAGAGAGAACTGTATCAGGAACATGTAGCATGGAGTCTATCAGTTTTCTCTCACTCTCGTTCCCTGAATGACCTGTCTTTTTATCTAATCATATCCTTGTTTGATACTAACTTTTATAGTGCTTCTACATAATTCCTTGTTTGTCATGTGGTGCTGCCTGCTTATGCCCACTATGCACTTCTCCATTGCCATTTGACTAATCTTATACTCAGTAAACTCCAGTGGTTCCCTGTTACTTCCAGGATCAAATAGAAATCAGTGCATACAACAAAATGAGCTCAGATGAAGGAGAGATTATTTCCATCTTGAAGAATTAGAGAAGGCTTCATGGAGTAGGTGACATCTTAGCCAGGTCTGAAGGATGGATGTAGGATATCAAGTGATAGTGATGGTCATTGAGAGAGGGTATCTCAGGTGGGGGAAAGTTGAAGGGTTAACTTTTTTAGGGGGAAAATTACAAGTCTGGAAATACAGCATTGTTGGGATAGAATAGGCTATTATAGCCTAAAGCAATCATAACATCCTTCTGCTCTCCTCATCTTCACAAATTTTATATATACACTAATAATACATATTCAACATAAAATATACATGTGTGAGAGGAGAGAACAGTTAGAAAGTTCATTAATTATGGTTCTACTTACATTTCTGTTATAGTAATAATAGATAGCACATTACATTTTATTGTACACTTTATAAGGGAATTTTCCTAAATTTTAGGTTTGACCATGTTACACCCACATCCCTGCCCTTACTCAATAAACCCTAATGGCTCATAATTACCTATAGGATCAAATACAAATTCTTTTGTTTGGCATTTAAAGGCTCTTCACAACCCAGTCCCTTTATATCTTTCTAATATTTTTTAGACCTTTCTCTCCTCTGTACATACTCTGGTTCAGTCATACTGGCCTATTTGCCATTCCTTTTACATGATGCTTCATCCCTCATCTCTATGCACTGGCTGCCCTCTCTCCCGGGCCTGTAATGCTCTAGTCTTTTAGAATCCCCCGCTTTCTTCAAGAGTCAGTTAAACATCATCTTCTGCAGAAGGCTTTGCGGTCCTTTAAGCTGAGATTATCTTCCATCTATTCTGTATGTATCATTTGTGCCCCTTTGGGTACACAATGTATCCAATGAATGTAGACTCCTTTCTAGTGCCAGCATAGTTCATGGAACATAGTAAAAGCTTATTAAATTCTTGTTGATTAATTCATTATCTCATTTGATTTTCTCAATTAAGGCAATTAGGGATGCTCTTAGAGGCTGATTGTCCATGGTCACTCAGCTAATAAGTGTCAAAGGCAAGATTGCATCCAGGCACATCTTTCCTAACTCCAAGACTCTTTCAACCATTCCACTACTGGTGATTTTCAGAGTTAATAGGCATGGTGGAAAAGGGCTGGACTTGAAGAAAGGAAAACCTGGGTTCAAATACACCTCTGACATCTACTTGCTGTGTCACCTTGGGCAAGCCAGTTAATCTCTCCAAGTTTCAGTGTCTTCACAGGTAAAATGAAGGTAATAAGCTTCTTGGGAGTAGACATTGTCTACTTGGATACATTTGGATCCCAGAGCCTAGCATAATGCCTGGCACAGGCGCTTAACAAAGACTTTTTGATTAATTGATTAATAATATTCCAATTCACAGAGTTGTTGAAAGGACCAAATGAAATAAGGTGTGTATATAAATGTTAGCTATTATTATTTTAAAGTTTAAGCAAGATATTCATAGCCTCTAGGTTGTGAATAAATTTGAAATGTATTTAAATTGAATTTTGCAGACCTGTCACTTCTCAGTGGGGAATCCTACTAAACCAACACTTTTATTCTGATACTTCCAATCAAAGCATAGGGCAGTAGATTAATAAATAATTAGCCTTAACAACAGGAGTACAAACACAGTCATAATTTATGAAATATCCTGCTTGTTTCTTTCTGCTCCAAAGATTGAAAAATATGGATTTTAGCCATAATTTATATATTATGCATACATATAACAAACACACCATATGCATTTTCTATTTTCTATCTATCAATCATCCTTCAAAAATCAGCAAATGAAGCCAATTTAGTATGTGTAAGTTCCATTTTTAAGTACCAAGTCCCTGTGATGAGGGAAACAATGACAATCATAGTTTTAAAAAAAACATTCCAGATATTTCCCCAAGCCATCTGGATATGATTGTCGTTGGAGGAATTTCATGAAGACTGACTGCTTCCAGTCCTGACTGAATAGTCAGTCCATCAATCAGAAATTTACCAATGCCTCGTCATTCGTCGGTGTAGTGCAATGCATTGTGAGACAAGAATGCAAAAAAATATTGGACCTAGTCCCTGCCCTCAAGAAGTGTACAACCTCTGATTAGGGAAAGATGATATCCATGCAGCATCTTTTAAAACATATGTTGTTTATCAGTCAGTGCCATGACCTTCTGTGGAGGGTAGAGTGAAAAGATAATTAGAAAGAAGCAGACAGTAGGGTGGATGGCTTGCAGCCTGATAATAGCTTGTTTGCTAATTGCCAATCTCCAATTTTCTGGGCAATTAGTCACTGGGTTTCCTCTTAGACCCTTCTGTGAAAATCTGGACAAATGGCCTCCAACCTTCCTTGCAGCAGGTGGGCTGAGAGATACACTGAGTATTTGGATGATATCTTTCTCCCTAGGTTTTGGGTTTTCCTGGCTGTGCTCACTCTCATCCCCCCAGGTATAAAGACCATCTGGTTGGCTACCTTGGACAGCGAGGCGTTTTTCTGATGCATTTACTTACTGACTTTGGGGATCAGGTTTATTCTTTGAGAGCTTAGATGCCAGATACAGTGAGAAAATTTCCTAAGAGGACACTACATCCACCTCTTTGTGTTGTTTACTTTCCAGAGTGAAGGGAATGTGAGCCACTAAGAATAATAAGTGGAAATGTCTTCTCTGCAATGAAGTTAATTTTTATCTCTTACTCATTATCTGGACCTGTACCCTGCCCTAAACTAGGACTGGAATGGAGCCCTCTCCTTGAGGCAAGAAGCTATAAACATGTAAAGTGATAGTGATATAACATATCCCACTTGAGAGAACACCCATCCTTCTTTATGATTCATTATATGCCTATCAATGCTTTTCACATTCTCTGTTTTATCACTATTCTTCATTTCCTCATCTACTCTGCGGGGAAAAGTTGTTGAACTCCCCAGGCTTAATTTAAAGAAGACGATCATTTTGAAAAGAGCAGTAAAATTTTCCAATCCATTTGGAAACCTGATTAATTTGGGTGCATTTCTAGAGGCAGACCTGGAGTTTCTTTGGTGATTCAAACACTTTTGTTTTCTTTATCAAGAAGCATTTTGTTTAATCGTTTTTAGCAAAATGCCTGTTTTCTGTTATCTGTGAGGCTATGTATTGTTCTCCCCCCCCCATCCCACCTCAATGAAGCCTGTAGCCAAAAGAAAGGATTTTTGTTGTTGTTGTTTTCTTTTTTCTTTTTTCTAGATTCTGGCATAATCTTTTGCTTCCAGGGCATTCTCTGTATTATGTGGTGTCAAAGTATTCTTTCCTTGGAAACAAATGACACTTTTTGAACTTCCCAGCAGGATCTAACCCCAAACAGCCCTGGTCATGGAAATTTGTGTTCTCCTTGTGTATGAAGCCCTAGAAAAACCAAAAAGAATTGAGTTCTGAGAAAGTTTTAGAGTAAACACCAGTGGCAGAATAATTGCAACTTGCTACTGTGTAATTGTCAAAATGAGGGTAGCTGCCGCCTTCCTATTGAAAGTAACGTTGTTTGATCTTGTATCTTTTGTTAGGGCTCTGTGTCCCTGGGAACTTCCAAACTCTAATTTTAAACTATTAGCATAAGTATACTTCCTTCCTGCTGGGTCTGTCTGCTGTGGGTTTTTGAATCTCAGAAAACCATTAGAAAATATGTATGAGGGGGGTGGAGTTAACCATTTGGGGTCAAATTACCTTTCTGGGCTAATTCAAGATTATAAAGAAGGGCTAGTGAAGACGCTATGGGAGAGTTACTCTAAGGAATTGCAGCTCACAACTAACTTTCTTTCTTCAGTGAATATTGAGGTGGAATTAGAAGGATCTTGGCACACGTTCTGCATCAACAATGACAAGAGTGGGCTATTTAAAAGCCAAAAAAAAAAAATCTATAACATATGTTCGTAAGACGATAGGTTGCTGTTTTAAGGAAAAGGATGTTGTTTGGTTTTTTAAAATATCAAATGTAACATCATGGAAGGAAGAAATGTTATGGGCTTTTATTAATATGTTGATTAAGCTATCAGGATGGAATAATTAAGTTAGAGATAAATGTAATGTTCTTCACTTTACAAGTACAGATAGGAAATGTTATCTAGATGTCTTTCACATCTTTTCATGTAGAAAAGATCTAGGGATTTTGGTAGATGGCAGATACAATGTGAATCATATGATGAAAAACATCAATTTTAAAGCTAATTTGAGAGACAGCTAGATGGTACAGTACATCGGCCCTGGAGTCAAGAGGCCCTAGTATAGATAAGAGAAGACTTATGGGTGGGTCTGATCATTCTCTTAAAATATCTGAAGTGTCTTGTGGGGGAAAGGAGTTATATTTTTGCTTGACATGAGAGAGAAGAATTTGGAACAATGGGTCAGATTTACATTGAGGCAGATTTTAAATTAAGGCTGTCCAAAAAGTGGAATGAGTTGCCTCGGGAAGTATTTGTAAATTCCCCATTACTAGAGCTCTTTATAGAGAAGGTGACCACTTTTCAGTTGTATTATATAAAAGATTCATGCTTCAGGGGTTATATTTCAATGTTCTATGAATCTAAATTCTAAGTCGTCTTACTATTTAGAAAGAGAAGCCATGGACTTTCACAGTAAGCCACCAATCCTTCTGTGTAGCTATCTGAATTAATAAATGTCACTTGTAAAGATGGTAAATTATGTTTTTCAGAAACAGCCTCTACATCAGCATATTCATCTCCTGCAAGAAGTTTGGGAGATACAGGAATAACACCACTGTCTCCTTCCCATATTGTGGTAAGAAATGTGCTCTTTCTTTGGGTTATTAAATTATGATTTTCTGTATCTTTCTTCACTGGATAAGTTGGTGGAGCCATACTGAGATGGCTTAGGACATCACTTTTTTAGGATTTAGTCTTCTCGTTTGTGAGATGCAGGGTTTGGATAAGAGAACCCTAGGATCCCTCAAAAGATGTAAAACACTATGACTTTGTAATTTTAAGGTATCGGCACCTAACCCTTTTGCTTTTTTGGTGGAGAGGATATGATGTGTTGCAAATAATCTGTGCACATGAATACTTTATATCTTTTAGGTGTCTACAAGGGCCCTGACCCCTTACTGCCTGATTTTTTAAAAAATTCATAAATACCACAGACCTGAAGCTTTCAAAGATGATTTTTCCAATTTTGCTTTTTCTGCAAATTTATTTGGCCAACTAGGATTGAGATAGGCACTGGACCTGTAATTTTATTGGTAGAGGAAACTCCCAGGTGAAGAAAATCCCTCTACCAATGCAGATTGGCACCTTCTTTGCAACTTATAGTCTTGGGTAGTTGCCTAGATCACTGAGAAGTTAAGTGGCCTGCCCAGGGGCAAGGAGTCACAGTACTTTTTAGTAGTAGGGCTTAAACCCTTGGCTCCAAGTTCAGCTCTGCTGTAAGTAAAAGCGAAATCGGTAAAATATAGGAGCAGAAGTGGACCAGTTGAATTACAAAGCCCTCTTAAGATCACTGTCCAACATTCAGTGATGTCCCTGGGCGATTGACTAAAGATATCTAGCTGGATAGCCAGTTGTTAAACATTCTTTCTTATTTGGCTGTGACTTTGTCAGTTGCAGTTCATTGTATGTGTTGGGGGGAAAAATAGTTGGGAGAGATTATATCACAGTCAAAATATGTTGCTAGTAGATTATTTTCAGTGGTCTCTTTTCCATGAGAGTGACAGCAAATTGTGTCTCTTCTGAATTCTCCCTGCTATAATAGACAAGCTAAATCTTCTCAACTAAACTCTTTTTCTATGGGCTTGTAGACATATAAGAGACAGGAAAAAAGGAAGGATTTGCATAGATATTCATGTTATTAAACACTTGAAAAAAGGATAGATTTTTTTATGCTAGGAACAAAACTGGAAGAGACTTCAAGGAACATGTGGTCCAATTCCCTAAGTTAACAAAGAAGGGAACTGAGTTGCAGAAAAGTGAAAAGATTTTGACCAGGGTTGCATAGCTAGTTAGTGGCAGAGCTTGGACAAGAACCTCTTTTGACCATATTCAGTCTTTTTCTAGTTCTACTATAGTTGTCCTTAAAAGCTTTGGATGGTAATGGGAAATAGTGAGGTTTGGTCTTGGCTTTATCATTAATTCAATGTATTAATGTCTTAACAACTCAGTCTGTGCCTTAGCTTCCTGATTTGTTGAATAGGGACATCAATGCCAGCCTACATGACAGGACCAATATTTAGTATGCATACACGTGCATGCACACATGTGTATATCTATCTAGCTATTCCTATATCTATATACACATGTATACATGTGTGTACATGCATGCATATACATTTACATATTGTTCCTGTCAGGCTGGCATTAATGTCTGTATTTAACTAATATGTTTGCATGTATAGTATATATCATACATGTGTATATACATATATAGTATATAGGATACATGTGCATATATACATACATACATATATATATCTAGTATTAACATGTGTGTACATAATTAATATTGTATATACATGTATACATGTATATATAATGCATATACAATGTATATGTATACCACATATCGCAAGTGCACACACATATATGCTTACACATATATTATACACGTGAGCACCAACAATACAGATATAGTTATGCACACAGATATATGTATGTATATTATACCATTACATATATAATTCATATACATACATACATGTATACATGTATGTGTGTGTGTGTGTGCTCACACTAGGAATTATAGAGTACTGAATAGAGGCAAGGTATTAATAGTTTCAGTATCTTGTATTCTGCCCTTTGTAGATTCAAATAAGAATCTGGCAGGTAAAAGAGGATATGTGTATACAAATAAAAATGTGCATAGAAAAGGAAATTAAAAACTATTTGGGAATCAATCCCTGTTTCAAGTGATTCAATAATTAGCCATACTCAAGTGGAGCTTTTAATTGGTGTAAGCCAGAAAGCCAGCTCTCCTAATTAAGTCTGGCAGAGTATCCTCATTTACTATTCTTTGGGTGGTCCTTCTTAAGCTTTATATTTGACTCACACTTAAGATCCATTAGGCCAGGTCACTGCCCCAGGTGTGGGGCTAGTAAGAATACTTATTGGGAATTATGCTTTGCTGACCCTTCCTGATCTGGCTTTGTAGTGTACCCAGGGCAGGCTTCCTAGCAGACAATATCCTTAAGAAAGCCGGAGCATGTAGCAAAGAGCATCCCTCAGCCAAATGGCCTCTCACTCTCTTTCTTTGCAGAATGACTCAGATGCAAACGTCACTGAGCAGCAGACATTTCTCGTGGTCGTCGCTATTGATTTTGGCACTACGTCTAGTGGCTATGCCTACAGCTTCACAAAAGAGCCAGAATGCATTCATGTCATGAGGTACGGACTTTGGTGCAGCCTTGTCACACCTTTCTAGAGTGACAAGATAATGAAAGGTCACTTAGCGTAATTGGAAAGGCATTATAATGGCCCTGAACATATATAAAAGACAGCTTATGATGGCCAGTTGGGAAATGGGTTGAGATAGTAAATAGATACATGGAAGTAAGAGAAGCAATGGATTGGCCTTGGATTTAAAGCAAAAGAAAAGGTCTACAATCAATGAAATATGTTCTGATTTTAACTTCATTAAACTAAAGTGTGTAACCATCGCTGCCTTCCCATCTCCTCCTCAATCTGGTTTGTCAGTATCGAAAACAGAATCAGCTGCATGTGAGGAGAAAGAAGTGCAAGAGCTACAGGTTGACTTAATATGAAGGAAGGAAACAAACATTTATTAATTGTTTACTGTGTGTCAGACACTGTGCTAAGCTCTGGAGATACAAGAGATATAGACATAGATATAGATACACACATATATATCTCACCATATAAATGCTAGTGGTGATGCTGCTGCTCCTGCTGATATAGTGAAGTGCTAGATATAGGTGTATGTTCATTAGATATAGATTAGATGGCTTTGAGATCCTTCTTATATCCCTCTTGAGATCCCTGATTCTGTCACTTAACTGTAGGGATAGGGACTAGTCACGTGATTACCTTGGTATAAGGAACTCCCAAGTGAGGTAATTCTCTTGGTCAATGTAGGTCAATATCTTCTCTTCAGTGAATCTCAGAGAAATACTCTGAGAGATTTACCTAGATCACTGAAAGGTTAAGTGCCACATCCCATCTCATGCAGCCCTTATGTGTCTGAGGCATATATTAAAACACAGTCTTCCTTGATCCAAGTTTAGGTCTCTATCCACTATGCCATGTTACTTTTCAACCTATGTCTTCCTAAATGAGATTTTAGAAATATTAATAAAATGGATGTTATTTCAAATTCTAGATTTTCTGATGTTGACTAATATTCTTTCTTTATAAAATTGAATGCAATTCAGTATGATAGCATATCTCATCTAGATTACAAAATAGTACTTTCCAACGTGAAATTTTGGATGGAACATTGGATTTGGAGATAGGAGGACACAGGTTCAAATCCCACATCAGAAACGTACTAGCACTACAATTTTGAGCAAATCAACTTAACCTCTCTGGGCCTCAGCTTCCATAAAATGGGGATAAGCATTTAATAAATGCTCATTTCCTTCCTTTTTTCACACTAAATCCTCCAATCATTGTAAAGCTCAAATGAGATGATGCATACAAACTACTTTACACTTTAAATAAATAGATGGCAGTTACTATAATTGCCAAGAAAAGTGAAAATCCTGTTTGCAGAGGGGAGCCCAGGTTATCACAATGAGTTGCCCTGTTGCTAGCTAAGAAAACACAGCCACGTCAGCTAAATAAATATTATATTTGTTCTGTAGTTGTTGAAAACATGGGTGGAAAACCAGAAAGTGTGTTGGTGGGGTAGGGAGGAGGGAAGTTCTGCTTAAGTCAATTTCTATTAAAGCTGGGATAAATAAATGTCTTTCATTTTCCAGTTAGCATTTGTTGTTATTTTTTAAAGTATTATTTTCATAGGATAGACTAACAACAGAGGACAGGGCACCAAGAGATAGAGAGGCAAATAACATAAATTGCTTTAGGAAGAAAACTTCTAAAACATCTTTTTGACCATTTTTGACTCCATAGTGTTATTTTTCTAGATCCATTATCCTTGGAGATGAGTCCATTACTGAATTTTATTCCAACAAGAAATATTTATATAATCAACATATTGAATAATAAAGTTAAAAGCAAGAATGTTCAGTGCCATTTTGGGCAGCTAGTACTCAGTTGATGCAAAAATGACTGGAGAATGGATGTAATGCTTGTTAATGTAGAAAAACAACAAAAGGAGGAGCAACAGGACAAGTCATTTGCAAACATTTTATTTAATAAGCATTTGTTAAGCATTCACTGGGTAGGCAGTGCTAGGTGCTAAAAATGACATAGTCCCTGATATCAGTGAACTTTGCTGATTGCGTGGGTATGTCTCTCACACACAGATAAGTTAAATAAAAGCCAGCATGTTATGGGTCAAAGAAGAGAGCCAGACAAAATGCTTTAGGAAAATTAGGGGAGGGAAAGGATTGTAGATGGGAAGGCAGAGAGAAAATGGAGGCAGAGTATTCGATCTACAGCTGGCCCTTGCTAAGTAAGAAACAAAAGCAGTAATGGTCCAAACAATTTACCTTTTCCCATGTTTTGCTCTTGCAACCTGGTCTCATGCATTTTCTCTGGGTTGTTTCCTAATTATGTTCCATTTGAGGAAACGCATATGCTTTCATACAGAGAGCCAAATAATTTATGCTAACAGCATAAGAAAAACCAACAGCCTCCCATACCGCACTGGATCGCATCACAGATGTACAATGCTTCAGTCAAATGTACCCAGCCTCTCATACCAGCTCTACTGTAAGCTAAATGGCATGTTACATTTCAGTCTCTAAAGCTAAAAAGATTTTTAGTGTGAGTCATTCATGGAAAGCTGTCTTAATAAGCTGTGGGCTTTGGATAGACTACAAAGAGTGATGTCTGTTTATCACCATTTTTGAAAGGATCAGTTCAATTTCAACAAATGTTTGTCAAGCTATGTGGGAATCATTTGAAGAAACTGGGGGTATTTAGCCTGGAGGAGAGATGTCTTGCAGGGAATGTGATAGTTATATTAAAGTATTTGATGCCTATTGTGCAGAAAAAGGATTAGACTTGTTTTGTGTGGCCTGAGAGGATAGAACTAGTAATAAAAGGTAAGAAGTACAGAATGGCAATTTTAGGCTCAATGTAAGGAGAAATTTCCCAAGAATTAAGCTTTCAAAAAGTGGTATGGACTTCCTCAGAAGAAAAGTTGTGTTCCCCTCACTAGAAGTCTTTAAGCAAAAAGGATGAATTAACACTTCATTAGGTATTACGTAGAGAGATTTTTGTTCAGGTATGAGTTGGGTTAGATGACTTCTGATGTCTTTTCTAATGCTAAGGCTCAGGAATTATGGGATAAAAGATATACAAAAAGCTTAAATAATATTTGTCTATAAATACTGGAGGCCTCGTTCTTTAGGGTTTCCTTAAGTCAATTGAATTTTTATTAAATTCACTTTGATATTCCTCAGTGTTCCTAGCAGGAAGCATATTGCTTGGGAAATAGGCAGAATGGAAGTTCCTTGAAGGCAGGACTATTCTTTGTACTTAGTAGGTACTTAATGAATGTTTATTGAATCATTGAAATGATAGCATTAGAGAGACAAACATTTGATTAACCACCATTTATTGAGCAGCTACTGTATGCTTTGAGCTATTTGTGGGGATGCAAGCATCAAATCACGTTAACATGTATATCATTATCTCTTATAGACTGGTGAAACCTAAGGGGGTAAAAAAGGAACATCGTGTAGTAGAGAGATCATTGACGTGGGAGTGAGAAATTTTGGATTTTAGGTCCAGCCTTGCTATTAGATCCAGCTACCTGTAAAGTCACACAGTTAACAACATGTGTGACTTCAGGGAAATTACTTCATTTCTGTAGTCTTCTGTTTCTACATCCGTAAAATAAGGGATTTGGATTATTCATTCTAGTTCCGCAATAAGTCATGGTCCCTGGTCTCAGGGAAGAAGGACTCATAGATCAGACCTATCTTATAAAGGGTTTGAGAACCACCTCTATTTATTTTAATTTTTACTTAAAGTAGCAGATGAACTTAGACATCTAACAGTAGTCCACAGTAATGAGAATCCAGTTGACAAAAATTATCCTTTTTTGAAAGTGTGGTACTAAATATGATAGCCAAAAGGTTAAAATATATCTTCCTTTATTTCCTAGGCGGTGGGAAGGTGGAGATCCTGGTGTATCTAATCAGAAGACACCAACCACCATCTTATTGACTCCAGAAAGGAAATTTCATAGCTTTGGCTATGCAGCCAGAGATTTTTACCATGATCTGGACCCAAATGAGGCCAAGCAGTGGCTTTACTTGGAAAAATTCAAGATGAAACTCCATACCACTGGTGTAAGTAATAGCTGTTCTGTGCACTAGAATTAGTTAATAGTTAATGAAAGCAAAGAAAAGGGAGAGGGCCTATGGTTCTTCCAAACAGTAGTTCTTAACCATAATGAATCCAGTTTTCTTGAAGAGCAGCACAGAAGAAAAAAATGCTCTCCTTGAATTTGATCTTCATTCACTTGAATTTCAAATACATGTATTCCATACAACAGAGGAAATTTATTGTGGGAGATGATGTTGGGTGGGTCATGTAAAAACAGGTGACAGGAAGTAGATTACACAACTAATTGCCTGGATTCCATAGGACAACAAATTTCAAATTAAAAGGCCCAAAACTCAATGAGATGAGCCAGTGGTCTGGTTATTTGAACAGAAATAGAAATGGTGAGCACAGGATTGTTAATTCTAATAATGAGTGGATTTGGGCCGAGTAATGAGTGATGACAGATGGATGATCTTTAAACACCATTGAATGCCTAAGTCTGTGTTTGATCTTAAATAATATTGTTAGCACTTTCAGGTATGTACATCAAGGTGGAAAGAATTGTGGAAACAAGTTGCGTGAAGCAGTTGAAAGGATAAGTCATTTAGTCTAATTTGGTTTCAGAGCCCTGCGTTGAATCCAGAATTGCTGTTAACTATCTATGTGACTTTGGATAAATCCCTTCAACTCTCTGGGCCTCAGTTTCTTCATTTTTAAAAGAGAGAATGGAACTAGCTAATTTTTAAGACCCCCTTCCTGCTCTTCCTAGAGTCTGTGAAAAGCAGATTCTCTGGGTGTCAGGGAATTCAGTCGATGAGAAGACTTCACAACTTGGTTACCTCCCACCCCAACCAAAGTTGAGAATAAGCAGTTCTAAAAACACAAAGACTCAAGTGAGCAGGAAACAACTACTTTAGCTCAGCTTAGGGGGTGATGATGTGATGCTGTATGTACCTCGGGGATGTAATGTATAACACTCTAGTCTATGTGGGATGCCAGTCATTGAAGGTTCTTTCAAACATGAATGGCAAACATTAATTAGAAAGCTTGAATCAATCATGAATCCCCACTGATTTTATCAGCCATAACAGGTCCATTTGTTAAGTGGGATTTCTGCTTTCTTTTGTTTCTCTCCATTCCTATCCTCCAAGGAATTTCACCATCATTTTTTAATGACCATTGTCCACCCCCATCATTTGATACAAAGCCTTTTACATTCCAACAAAGCTTCCTATGACTTAATAATGCTTCCTGCTGTTCTAGTGCTCTGGCAGGGAAAGTGATGCTACTTTTACCCCTGGGCTCTCAACAAATTACACAGCTTCAAGACTTAAAATAACTGCTTTTTTCATTTCAGTTCCTGAATTTGTCACTCAGTTTGAATGGGAATCGCATGTCCATACAGAAGGCACACACTAGCATATTTGCATTATTAAGGATTATTGTTCTTCCTATCCAGTCTCCACCCCTCACCCCTTGGGATTTTCCCAAGAGCTGAATCAAGCTGTATTAAGTGTGAAGACTGCATGTGCATTCACCTTTTAAAATGGCATATAACTGGAAGGCATATAACTGTATTGCATAGATCTTTTTGTTGTTGTTATTATTAAAATGTTACTGTTGCTACCCTTCAAGATGTTTTTTATTGCTTTCTTTGGTGGTCTTTCTCAGACTCCTCTTCCTACTCTTCCATCGTGGACTTATGTCACAGAATTATGAATCTTAAAGTGTCAAGGGGCCTCAAAGGTCAGAGAATCCAACCCCAACTGGAAACAGGAATCCTTTATAAATATCTTTTGTACCTGCAAAAATTGACTTACAAATAATCGGAAGAGGCATGCACAAATCAGCAAAAGCCATCAGAAAAAGGGGGCTATGAAAGGCTCCCAAGCCACAGTTCAAAGAATATCCACTTTTTTGGGAAAATAATCAAGTTAAATATTAGAGCTTTGATCTACTCCCTCAAGACAAGGGTGGGAAGGGGGAGAGGAAAAAAAAAAAAGAAAACATAGCCTGAATTCCCTCATCTCATTTTCTTTTAATTTAGAGGTTTCTGTCATGTAGAATAAATTTTGCAAGACCTGAAAGGCAGATATTTCCTTTATGTCATTCTTTCAATAATAGTACTTCTCTTTTTCTAGAATCTCACCATGGAGACAGATCTGACAGCAGCAAATGGGAAGAAAATCAAAGCACTTGAAATCTTTGCTTATGCCCTGCAGTACTTTAAGGAACAAGCATTGAAGGTAGGGCTAACTGCTAGTTCAGTCTATCACAGTGTATTTGTCAGGAAAGTACATGCTGGCCTGGAATAAGTTAAAGATTAGAAGTAGCTGTGCTTGAGATTGATCATGTCATCTTTTGTAAGAATTCTATGCCAATTTAGAATGCTGAAATGCTCCAATCAGTTCTAAGTGTTTTCTCTTATGTTAAGATTAAGGGCTTTATCCATTGTGAATCATTTTGCTAATATTCCAAGTGGAATGTTACCACCTCTACCTATTTCCTTTCCCTCTAAGAACCAATGGAAATGATTGGTGCATGAATTTCAGATTCTTTGATGATTTATGCTAAAGGAGAGAATTGTTTTGGTATACAAAGGAATGGTAGGAGGCTTGGAAACCAAGGGGATGAAAGAAGGGCAGGAGATAATGTAGAAGTATGCTTTAAATATTGCATTAATCCAAGAAACATTTGTGGGGTACCTACTACACAAGACCCCATGCTAAGAGTTATGCAGGAATATAAAACTAAATCAGACATGTCCCTCCCTTAAGCAACTTATGGTCTAGTAGAGGAGTTAAGGCACACGCACAAATAACAATAATCCAAAAAAAAGTATCTCATAAGGATTATATCATTCCTAATTTGGTTGATTATGGAAGACTTTGTGGATATTTGGACTGGTCTTTGAAGGATAGGTAGGATATTAATAGAGACCATGTCTTATGCTGGGCAGAAGTACGGAAAAAGCTTATGGAATATTCAGAGAAACAGTCTAGTTTGTCTGGAAATCATATTAATCATAGGATCATAGGACCTAGAATTGGAAGTGGCAGAAAGGGATATCAGGGATTATCTAACCTACCATTTTAAAGTTAAGGAAATTTAAGCTCAGAGAAGTTAGTTGACCGACAAGAGGAAAGATTATGTTTGGCATGACTGAACATTTAGAAACAAGGCTATTCATTAGCTCAAAGGATGATTGAACAGTAACCAACATAGGCTTGGGTCAGCATTTAGAATGTCTGGATTGCATAAGTAAAATCAAAAAATTGTTTTAAAAACAGAGAAAATAGAGGATTTATGTTTTCTCTGTAGAAAATTATAGCCCAAATTATGGCTGGCAATTTGATAATAAGTCTTATAATTGCTCAATCAAGATTTTTTTCCAAATTGTATAACACCTGAATGATCACAAAACACCAAAAAAAAGCATTTCTAAACAGCTTTCTTTGAAACTTAAGAAAAAGCTGTTCTTCACGTCCATAAACTCTTCCTGTTTAACTAGAGTTTTATATAGCACATAAGGCAATAACATTTTTCTTGGATCCAGTCCCAAAACATGTCAGTTTCACCTGATTTCAAAACACAGAGCAGGCTTTAAAAAAGGAAAATTTTACAAAGCAAAGAACTTAACTACAGCTGAATCATTGGCCCAATGCAGACATACCCAAAATGTTTTTTTAAGGGGAAGGAATGGTAAATGCCAAGCATTATAAGTAAATTAGTTCAGTGGGAGGGTGGATCAAGCACAAGATAGCTATTCAAACTAGTGGGTAATATGAGATACTTATTAGGAAAATAAATATTTGCCAGCTTGTTAATCATTTGAAATCTACTTTAGAGCGACTAGAAGCTGACTGCAAACTTGACTGAAGAGATAAGTTAATACGTGTTTGGGTTTAATGTTAGTATGCTATACACATGACAGCAAAACATGTCCAAAAATCATTACAGCCACAGCTTTTGATGAAACTGGCTAGCGTGAATTGTCCAACATGAAGATTTTTATCAAAATGGTGGATGTTTTTGGATCTCTATCAATCATACAAAAGGATGGCCAGAACACTTTAATTATCTTAACCTTAATCTACAGTTCAGTTCAGTGGCACAAACATGTACAAGGCACTTTGGTAAACTCTGGGGATAAAAAGACGAAAACGAAATGTTCCTGATGTCATAAAGCTTGCATTCTATTGGGGAAATACACAAGTAAGAAAATATAAAATATATACAAATTAATGCAAGGTCATTTCAAGAGGGAGAAAGTGCTATTAACATGGAGATCAGAAGAGACCTTATGTTGGGAGATGGCACCTGGGTCATGCTGTGAAGGTATCTAGAGTAGTCTGTTTTTTTTATTTGACCATTTCCCCCCCACCTCCCCAATCTTTCTCCTTTCTGTCAGGAAATCTGCTTGGAATGTTGTTGAAAGGCATGAATTTTAACCCTGCTGAGTCCCATGCTGCCGGAAAAAAAAAAATTAAATCTCACCATCAGCCTTTGGTGCTGTTATTAATGCTAGGTTGAGGCTAGGCTGTGAAACAAGCACAACATGAGTCTGTATGGCAGGAAAGCTCAGATGATAGTAGTCAAATGAAAAGTATCCTTGAGAGATAACTTCTGTTCGTTTTCATGTTACTGTTTCCTTTTGGTTTAGGAGCTGAGTGATCAAGCAGGCTCTGAGTTTGAAAATTCTGATGTCAGATGGGTCATCACAGTGCCTGCTATTTGGAAACAGCCTGCCAAGCAGTTCATGAGACAGGCTGCCTACCAGGTAAGATAGTAGGGTAAAAAGAAGGAAGGGAGAAAGGGAAGTCAGATTCCGGAAATGGTGTCATTATAATCAGTGATTATAACATTTCCCTAGAGCAGTGACCTAAAGCACAATGTATCATCTCCTGACATCTAGAAGTCTTCAAAGACCATTGTACTAAATCATTTTTTATTAAGGAAAAAGAAAAATTACATGCCTTCTGAGCTAAGCAGCTACTGTCAGTGATGTGAGAAGGTTAAAAATTGGACCATCAGGCACGACAGAAAAGAAATCAGTCAAGTTTTTTTGTTGTGCGTGGCTATTTTTTATTTTCATTTTTATTTTTAGCTATATCAATCATCTTGGTCATGTTTCACCATAGATGCTTTGGGAACAAAATTCTGAAATGAGAATTTCTATACCAGGCTGATTAGATGGGTTCCATTTATGAATAAGACTGGTGAAACAGGAACATCTGGGTAGTGAGACCTAAGGATGAGGGCAGAAGCAAAAGGGCAAAAGCAGTCTAAATAAGATTGATGTGGGAGATTATAATGCATGTAACATAGGATTGTCAGTCAGTAAATTAACATTTATTAACACCTACTGTGTACCAGGAATTGTGCTAAGTGTTGAGGATACACAGAAAAGTAAAAGACAGTCCCTGCTGTCCAGGAGCTCACACTTTAATTGGGGAGACAGTTTGTAAACTTCTATCACAAACAAAATATATACAGAATAAATTGGAAATAATCAAGAGGGAAAACGTTGGAAACAAGAGAGATCAGGAAAGCTTTCCCACAGAGGATGGGATTTCAGCTGGGACTTGAAGGAATCCAGGAGGCAGAAATGAGAAGGGAGAATATTCCAGGTGTTAACAATATTCTTTGTCGCCATAATGTTATTAACATGGTCAGTTAAAGGTTAGAATTGAAAATGTCTGATTTTTAAAACACTTAAATTTTTTTATTTGACTCAGGACTTTAGATTCTGGGCATTATTTGAATGAATTGCATTGCACCCTCTTTGATAAATCCAGTCCTCTCATTGTCATGGCCATTTGAAATCTAGAGCCCAGTGAAGCTTTCCTGTATGTGAAAAAGCAGTAGTTGATGAACTGGGATAATCAGGAAATGGCTCTCTGAGAAAGCGACAGTAGAAATCACAGCAAACAAAAGTCATCCCTCTGACTTTCATTTTCCAGCTTAAGAGGCAACTATAGACTTTAGCCAGTACAAAATATCATTTCCCATTTTTAGCCCCGATGAATTAGGCAAGAACAGATTGGTAAGTGACTGTTTTTCCCACTAAGTTATCTCCGGACGATAGTCCTGGAAAAGTACATTCTCTCCTACAGAGAAGGCTTCAGAGGGTGTTTGGTGGGGTCTAGAGTGAACAGAAACAGGAAACCAAACACAATGGAAGCATCTGGAAGGAAATTGGTAGAGCCTCCCAGATGTGGTAGCCCTAGTGAGAATGCCATTACAAAAAGCAAAACACACTGGTATCAAGGATCCCTCTAAGGCTGGGATTCTGAACCTTTTTTGTTATTTTGGACACCTTGGGCAGCCTGGTGAAGTCTATGGACCTCTTCTCAGAATGATGTTTTTAAATGTATAAAGTAAAATACATAGGATTCCAAGGGAGACCAACTGTATTGAAATACATTTGTCAAAAATATTTTTAAAAATCAAAATCCCAGATTAAGAACTCCTGCTCTAAGCAATTTCCATCAGTTATATGCAAGTGCGGAATAGTTTCTGAAGAACAAAATCAAATGTTACAGACAAATATAATAAATACTCCCTTGATTCAGAATGCTTCTTCAACATGTCTTTTTCAGGCTGAGTTCCAGGCAGTGTTACTTCATGCCAGTGGGTACAATAGAACCATAAGCAAGTGCCATTCAATTATTTTGCTCTGTGGAGATGGACAGATAATTAAATATCTGTCTTGATTCAAGAATGGGAAAAAGCTCCATAAAAACTGTTTTATTTTTGTTTTTTTTGGAGATTAGATTAGTCTTACATCCCACCAATATGCCTTCTGGAAAAGTATATCGAGTGATGTGAAAGTGAATGCCACTTCTCTATGAGCAAAATTAGTGTCTCTTTCAATTATTGTACAAAAGCAGGTGAGATATTTAACTAAATGAGCAAAGACAGACCTGGACTCAGAGTCCTTCATGAGGGTGAGCAGCTCCTCAGGAGTCAGTGAGATATATTGCATGCTATGCATGTGGATGAGACAGAAAGAGAAGATGATAAGATGGTTAGGTAGATTTGGAACTGTTTGAATTACCAAACCCTGAAGAGTAGTCATCAGTAGCTCAAGGTCACCTTAGAAGGACACCTCTGATGAAATGCCCAAAGGATATGTGCCTGGCCCTGCATTGTTAAAAAAAAAATTTCATAAATAACCTGGAAGAAGTCAGAGATGACTTGCTTGTCAGGTTTGCAAATGACACAAAATTGTGAGGGATTATTGCTAACAGTCTGGGTACCAAAAGCTGTTATTGTTTATTCTTCATTCTTGAAGAGGACCAGTGACATTTGGGAAGGTGATATCATGATTTACACACAAATTGGATTTAAGTGAGGCAGGGTTGTGCAAAGTTACCAGCCTCACTCTTTCCTCTGGAGCCATCTGGGTCCAGTGGCAAGATATACATCAGAATGACTGGAGATGGCGCTGGGTGCAGTGGGAGACCTTGGCCTTTTTAAGCTAAGGTCTTTCCCAAGTCTGAGGCAGCACTCATTCAGTGATTAAGGCTAGGTAAGAAATAAACCAAAAGACAGCCTCTTTTACCTACTAAAAAAAAAAATCAGTCTGGGAGGCCCTAGCCTCTGTTGGTCATTTTTTGGACCTTGTTGGCTCAGAGGGAGTATAAATAGCATTTGTTTCTGTTCTGGCCAGAAACCCTAAGGGTCTTCGCCTCCTAGATTGATTTTTTTTTTGGCTAGGTTAAAGAGATTGTCTTGACTCATTTTTTACCTAGCCTTAATCACTGAATGGGTGCTGCCTCAAACTGAGACCTGGGAAAGACCTTAGCTTAAAAAGACCAGGCTTTCCAGTCGTCCTATCTGTATCTTACCACTGGACCCAGATGGCTCTGGAGGAGAGAGTGAGGCTGGTAACTTTGCACAGCCCTGCCTCACTTAAATCCAATTCACTTGTAAGCCAGGACATCACCTTCCTGATGTCATTGGTCCTTTTTGAGAATGAAGGGCAAACAACAATTTGTGAGTAGTAGCAGCTGTCCCACTGGGGCCCTAACTGGTTAGTTGCAGTTGGGCAATGCGTGCTCTCTCCTTCCTCCTCCCTCTTTTCCTTCCTTCCTTCCTTCCTTCCTTCCTTCCTTCCTTCCTTCCTTCCTTCCTTCCTTCCTCCCCTCCCTCCTTCCTGCCCTCCTTCCTTCCTTCCTTCCTGCCCTCCTTCCTTCCTTCCTCCCTTCCTTCCTTCCTGCCCTCCTTCCTTCCTGCCCGCCTTCCTTCCTGCCCGCCTTCCTTCCTTCCTTCCTTCCTGCCCTCCTTCCTTCCTTCCTTCCTGCCCTCCTTCCTTCCTGTCCTCCTTCCTTCCTTCCTTCCTTCCTTCCTTCCTTCCTTCCTTCCTGCCTGCCTTCCTTCCTTCCTGCCTTCCTCCCCTCCTTCCTTCCTTCCTCCCCTCCTTCCTTCCTTCCTTCCTTCCTGCCCTCCTTCCTTCCTTCCTTCCTCCCTCCCCTCCTTCCTTCCTTCCTTCCTCCCCTCCTTCCTTCCTTCCTTCCTTCCTGCCCTCCTTCCTTCCTTCCTTCCTCTCCTTCCTTCCTTCCTTCCTTCCTTCCTTCCTTCCTTCCTTCCTTCCTTCCTTCCTCCCTTCCTTCCTTCCTTCCTCTGTCCACATGGGAAATCAAGCACTTACATGTGAGTGCTCTGCCCAAAGGAAAGTGGATTTCTTGAAATAGAGCTTTGGAAAAACCAGGCTCTGGTAAAGCCCATTGGGATTCAGATAGAGCTGCATGAGTATGCCTTAAACCCACATCACTCTGGCTCTCACTGATTGGCCAATAATAACTCCCAGCCCAAGCCTCTGTTGGTCATTGGGTTTTGTTGGCTCAGAGTGAGTATAAATAACAATTATTTCTGTTCTGGTCAGAAACCTTGAGGGTCTTCCTCACCAAAAGTTAGTGACAGGCTAGAATGATGGTTTGATTTGAATAAGCTGAAATTATAAAGTAATAAAGTACCATACTTAGGTTCCAAGAACCAACTTCAGAAATCCAGAGAAATGGAAATGAGGCTTGGTGTCAGCTCTGAAAAAGATCTGAGATGTGGACTGCAAGCTCACTATTCGTACATATTATGATATGGTAGTAAGTATAGGCAGAGCTGTCCCAATCTGCATTAGAGACAGGGTCCAGAACAAGACAGATAATAGTACTGCTACATTGTGCCCTGGTCACACATAAATTGAGATCAGAAGTATAGTGTATCATTCTGGACATCACATTTTAAGAAAGGCATAGGAAGGCTGAAGCATAGCCAGAAGATAGTGACCAAGAGGACAAGGGAACTGTAGAACATGCCATTTCAGCAGCAATTAAATGATGTGGGGATTATTAGCATGGAGATCGAGGATATGGGGGAGGAATGTGATTGATATATTGAAGTCTTTGAAGGGCTTACACATTAAAGACTTATTGGGCTTATTCTAAGAACAATTGGGTAGAAGCTGCAGAGAAGCAGATTTAGGCTTATATAAGGAAGAAAAATTAGAATTCTGAAATTCTGAAAATTAGAGCTATCGAAAAGTGGTATAAGTTGCCTTGGGAGGGAAGGAGTTTCCTTTCACTGGAGGTCTTCAAGCAAAAGTGAAAACCCATCATTTGTTAGGTTGTAAAAGGGATTCTTGGTCAGGTGCAGGCTGACCTTGCTGTCCGCTGAGCTTTTAGATTGCATGTTACTGTGAGCACTTGGCTGTGAGAGGCTATTTCTGTACTGGCCAAATGAAGCAGTTCATTTTAAAGATAGCAAGTCCCTACTAGA